TGAAAACGAATGACAAGCGGTTATTGCTGATTGACGAACAAAGGTATTTGGCTGATCAAGTAAACAAACGCTTAGGAGCCGTCCGCTTTCGACAGATACGACCAGAGAAAGGTGATTATTAAAACGATTTTCCCTTGCTAAACGTATAGCTGTTGTTATTACTATTTTGCCAACGAAATTTCTCTGATTCTTAATTTTCATTTATAAAAATTCAAATTTTAATTTTAACTTGAATTTTTAATTTATAAAATGTATAGAGAAATTTTGAAAGAACAAAGTTCAAATTAAATGTAAGTGAAAAAGATATTCCTACGTTAAATAATCTGTATATGTGTGGGGGGGGGAGGACAAAGAGACGTACGTTTTCAGGAGTGTGAATGCGTTTCTCGATGTTTTAATCACATAAAAATATTTTTTTATATCAGAAACAGGAATGATGATGATTTTGCGTGGTTTAGGAGGCACAGTAGTCCATTGGATCGCGGCTCGGATTACGGAATCGGAGAACCGAGTTCGAATTCCAGTCGAATCCATTAGATTCACTTACGTGGTAATACTCTTGGGAAAGGTATGAAGCCATCTCTTCTCTCCCTAGCTATGGGTAAATAGCAGGACACATCGTCTAGGACAAGGGTGGGCAACCTTTTCTTAGGGTGCTTACCAAAACCGGCCAAATAGCTGAAACAAAACTTTTCTACGTGCCAACAAAAATTACTTGATATTTATTAAATATGTGAATTTTTTTAAATGATAAAAAATCACCCCAGAACACTAAAGATATGGTATTGTAAGAAATTATGTAACTTATGTAAAACTGACTGAATCAAAAAATTATGACAGACTTTTATGAAAAAGTTTTTGTGATTTTTTTATTAGCCTGTAAGTATAAATGCAACTTCCCTACACACTCACACAATTTAAAGACACTGTTAACTATTATTAGCATCAATACAAAATAGTTAACGTTGTTATGTTTTATCGATTAATCAATCATCATTCTTCCCAGTTATACATTTTTATAACTAAAACATAAAAGGTTATTAAAAATAATCTTTAACTGATACCTTATAAATGATATATAAAAAACAAAATATATATCAATTTACCTTAAATTTAAACTTCCCTGAACCTTTGCCACTTTCAAAAGAAAACATCAGATAAAACTAGAGACAGAAAACTTGTTGACTCTTTTTATATATTATCAATAGGACTTCTGATGCTGCATCACTGATGACAGAGATTTTATATCAGGTTTTTATTTAGTAACCTTGAGAGATATGCATGCACTACTATTTTCATCCATCAGGCTACTCCTGTTACAAGACTTAACAAAGTTCATCACTGAGAACAAAGATTCACAAGGATATGTAGATAAAAACATGGATAGTAATGTTGTTGCGAGGTTTTTTTTTAAAAAGGCTAAATTTTCTGGAATGGTATTCAAAGACCTTAATACTTCATTTTCCGCATTTCTCTTTGATACTCCCATCTCTAATCGCTCTTTTTTCATTATTTTCCAAATCAACACTAAGGTCAACAAATTTCTGCTTCTAAATTGAGCTACTCTGAAATTCAATCAACTGCATTTAAAAATCATCCATATCTACCTATGAAAACATTTGCATGTTCAATTCATCCAGTTTGATATTGTCTGGAAACTTAAACCGCCATCTTTTGGGAGGTCATTGATGTACCTCTTTAGGTTTGGGAGGTATTTAAATCTCTCATTATCTACATCCCTCTTAAAAACTTCTAGTTCTATTTGAAAAGCCTTTATTTAACCAAACAAGAGCCATGTAATTCCCATTCAAGTCATTTAAATGTTCACAAAATCTGAAAGAAACAAACTCATATCATGTCAAACAATTATTAGTAAGGCACTTATTGGTCATTCAAAAAGACCTTTATCTCATCTAAGCATTCAACAAATCGTTTCAGAACCAAACCTCGGCTAAACCAACGAACTCTGTTGTATATTTTCAGTCTTTTATATACAGATTCTTCCTCGTTCAGGAAAATTTGAAAGTGTCTTTTATTTAAAGCTCGAGTAGAAATGTAATTAACAACTTTGGTAACTGTTTCCATCACTTCCCAAAGTCCCTTTAGGCCAGTTTTTGCACACAAAGCCTCCTCATATATGATCCAATGAAAACTTATTAATGGATGACCAACATATTTTGCAAACAGATTTACAAACTTTGCCTTCTCTCCAGTCATAATGGGGGCACCATCTGTTGTGGCAGATACTACTTTTGAAATATGAATTTGTCAAGTTGATAAATCATTCACAACTGCTTTACATATTTCAGCCCCGATAGTACGCTCAGATAGTGTTACAAGGTCACCCATCTTTTCACATACTTCAACACTCCTACAGAATCGAGAAAACATGGCTAGCCTAGCTGATGATGTAATGTCGGACTTTCATTAACACAAATGGAAAAAAAAAACTTACATGAAGACAATCCAATTGTTCAGCTGTATTCATTTCCAACTTAAGCATCCTATCCTTAACTGTTTTCCTACTCACATACAAATATTTAATCTTTTCCTTTTCTGAAAAATTGTCAAAATGAAAAGCGCACATTCTAGCCAAGGTACTTTAATATATTTCCCATCACTGAGTGATTTTCCATGTTGGGCAATAACTTTTGAAACCTCAAAGCTAGCAGTAACTAATTTGGGACTGGGCCTACCTAAAATAAAGTCCAAAAAAAGTATCAGTATTTTTTTCATCTTATTTATTTCACGAGAAATTAATTCTCTTTGTCCATCTTCAATTTTTTTGCTTAAGTTCTTATGAACACTTTCAAAATATCTCTTTACAGAAGAAGTCCTACAAACGATTGTTTCGGAACAAAAAAAAGCATAAGGCTTAATTGTCTATCTTAATCATGCCAAAATTTTCAGTTCAGTATTCTTTAAATTCTCTAATATCCTCTTCATTTGAATGACATCATTTCTTAGATTGATGATTGTAACATTCTGCACAATTTGTAAAGGGCAGAAAATAAAAATACATGAGATAATGATATACATAAAAGAGGTGAAAGAATAAAAGTAAATCAAAAAGGGAATCTAATGAATAAATTTTGTGTGCCAGAAACAAGTTATCGGCATACCATTTTTGGCACGCGTGCCAAGGGTTCCCCACCCCTGACCTAGAAGGAGGAAAACCCTGAATTCAAAATTGACTGCATGTAGCCCTGACGAAGTACATACTATGCAGCTAAGGAAAGGATCGTTCCCATTGACTCGATGATCCCGACTATGGTCGACTGCTATTTTTAAAGGCAGAATGAATTTTGTTAGATCCGTGGATACAGGGTGAAGCAAAAGTCGCGCACTATAGTTCGAAGAGGTCCTGTTGAGTAACCACCGAGGTCACCCCTGGATTTTTTTATGTGGGGCCACTTGAAATCAGTTGTTTATTAGACGCGCCCCAAAGATATTGAGAAACCTAAATAAAGAATTAAATATGAAAGCAGTAAAATGACAGTGGAAATTTTCCATTGTGTTAATGAATCAGACAGGCACAAAATTGAAATGTGTCTTGAAAAAAGAAGAGGATATTTTGAATATCACATATAACAATTAAATAAGTAAAATTTTCATGTGTAATTTTACTTTTAATAAATAATCACTATGTTGCGCGAGTTTTGACTACCCTATATATAACACATCCTTTATTTCTTTTAGCCATTCTACTGACCTAGCCATTAAATCAAGATTTCTCGTTAATTTTTGTTTCTCGCTGATTTCTATCTACATGCTTTCATTTTTATTTTGGCGTTTTACATATATTTTGTCAGTAATGTAAACATGACTACGTACGCTTGAGTTGTGAGGAAGACGTCTTTACAAATTGTTCTTGTCAAATTTCAGGTTGGAGGAAAGATTTTCAAGTATTTGGCCAGAACGAAACCAAAGACGACTTAATTCTATCTGCGCTTCATTACACAAGCAGCATCGATAGCAGAGAGTACTTTAAACAGCGTGGCACTCTGGGATATTATCAAAATGGCGGCTATATTGTCGATATTAACAAACGCTACCTGAAGGCCAAACGGATTCTTTCGCAATTACGAGATTTAAAGTGGATGGACGACCAAACCCGTTGTCTCTTCATCTGTATGGGAACATACAACGCCAACAGTGGACTATACATGCAGACCATTATTCAATTGGAGAGACTGTCTGTTGGTGGTATACAAGCACATGTCAAGGCGTTTAGTTTTAAACTATATCCATTTGTCGGACTGTGGGATTACTTAATCTTGTTAATATTGATTGTCTTTGCCTGTATTACTTTAGGCAATGTTATAAGACTATTTTCTCGACTGAAAAAAATGCAAAAAACAAAATTATTCGCCTGGACTATGATTATTCCTTTGCTGAATATCTTTTTCTCCATGATGATTATATTCGGGTTCATTGTCAAAATTGATCAGCTGCTTGTATTAAGAGACGAGTTGGTTGCACACCCAGGTAAATACGTTGATGTAAAAATATTCATATATATATATATATATATATATATATATATATATATATATATATATATATATATGATAGGATAAAGAACAAGTAGGAAACAGATCTCAATCTAATATGTTTCACTCAAAGCTTCGTCAGAGATCAAGATAGAAATGATAAAAAAGTAAACAGACGCAGATTAATGGCATGTTGTGTCTGGTTAGTTCTTATTGGTTAGATACGTATATATATATATATATATATATATATATATATATATATATATATATATATATGTGTGTGTGTGTGTGTATGTGTGTTTGTGTGTGATGTATAATAGTATCCGAAACAATAGTGAAAATGATGAGACAATGTGTAAATGATGAAACGCTGCTCCATTTGATTTCTTCAGGTTAGAATTCTAATATAAATTTTTAAATTGTTACGTACTATTAGGAGCTTAATACATTTCGGGCATCGACATTTTTCTCAAGATAGAATAAACTGGACTTTTAATAAAAGTGGGACCAGAAAATTATTTAAATGGACAAAAAAGTGTGAATTTAATAAACGGGATGAGTTAGAGGGTGTCGAAAAAATTAACAAATAAATAAATGTCAACCCACTTTTTATGAGGTACGTAACAGTATCAAAGTGCCGAATAAAAACAGTGAAAGGAAAGGTCAGCAAGGATTTAAGGGAGGAGGTATGAATTAGATATTTACCTAGGCTTCGTGATCTTAGGTACATGATGACGGAGAGAGAGTCCATATATATATATATATATATATATATATATATATATATACATGATAAAAATATAGTTTTAAGGTATGTTATATTTACGGATTAAATCACTATCAAGGATAGAGCGTATAAGAATATAAAAGTGGACATTGAGGTCAACACCCAGCGATGACAGTCTGTTTCATGCTTAAACGCAATCTTCAGTCCATGAAAATTGAGTTTATTCTCGCTGCTGGACGTTGACCTCAATGTTCACACATATATCACTTATATATATATGTTTGTGTGTGTGCGATATATTATAAAGTGGACAATTTCATATGTTGTCATTGTTTACGTTAAGATGTTTCGTGAACAGAAATTTTCCATTGAGAAAAGTCGTCGAAAGTGTGTGTTTATAAAGACAGACCTCTCTCATGTGTATATATGAGAGAGGGCGAAAGAGAGATGGCAAATTTTATTTAATAAATTTTCTCGAGTGTGCAAGCCAGTAGTCTAAATAAATATTGTTTAAATAAAACGGAGCATCTACTCAAATATGGGTATCCACTAAAAATAACGTTTAAAGTAATATATATATATATATATATATATATACGCGCGTGCGTGTGTGTGTGTATGGTAATTTTTATTTGAAAACTTTTTTTGAGCTATTTTTAGTGTCTTCAATGTATCTGTGAATACAAGCAAAAGCCAGTATTTTTAATACCCAATTTTCTCTGGTGTAAAAATAATATGGCTCACAATAAAATTCATGAATACAGTCTTCCTAAAGACATGGGACTTTTGCCAAGAGTGACAGAGATAGAGCCGTATTTTTATTTTCAAAGGCCTTTATCTGAACTTGTATTAACTTAGCCAGTGACGACATTTGATTGTTCTATTGTCAAGTTGCGATATATTAAAGAGGTGACGTTGCTAGGGAGGTGTAGCAGGGACGAAGCAGGCCAGTTACCAATGGGAAGAACATCAACTTCAGAGGTGACCCACAGGTGGAAGCGCATTTTCTCACATTAAAATTAGTTTGCATCACATTTACAGATGGAGGAGCAAAGATTTTCGTAGGGATTCAGCTCTCCCTAATATCAGTTTTAACATTTATTTCTTATAAAATTTGAAAAAAGAAATGGTAATTGTCGCAAAATACCCTCTCGTCTGGTAGCTGAGGAAGAATACATGTTGGTGGAAATATTGATTTTTTTATATTTCCTGGAATGGAACTAGAACAAACCCTGGTGACATTAAAATTGATTGACTATCTGTTCGTATTTGGTCGGTAGGTCAAGCTTAGCACGTCTGTGCAAAAGAATGGAAGGGGTTAGAAAGAAAGTAATCTTAACATTTGAGTTAAATATTGATCACGAAAATGGCTTCGTAAAGACCGCTTCTTGAGACGTCTGATTTATTACAATATGATCAAGGAAATTTATACACATTTTTCTATTTTCCTTGCAGACAAATACGTTTCAGCTGACATATTAATCATACAAGAGCAAATCTATCTGGCTGGACTTTGTGGGTGTATTCTTGTCGCAATGTTAAGTCTACTGGAGCCAATGACGTTCAACTACCATTTGTTTCTGATGAAGGGAAGTATAAGTGTTTCGATGCCAAGTCTATTGTCTTTTACCGTTTTTCTGGTAGTAATTCTTTCCAGCTTTGCTTTCTCACTTTATGTCACTCTGTGCAGTTACTCTTTCCACTTCAAGGATCTGCGGACTGTCTACCTGACTCTTTTCCGGATATTTCTTCTGATGGGGAAGTTCCATGAAACTTTCCAACTCGACAGGTTATTTACGCATCTAGTTTTCTTAGCCTACGGATTCACGGTATCAATCATCTTACTGAATGTGTGCGTAAGTATCATCAACGATTCGTTCACATACATCCGCGATATGCAACTTAATGTTGGGTCAAAGTATCGATTTGATCAGAGGCTCAACGACCATTTCTGGAACCGGATGAGAAGATTCTTTTGTAGAAAAAGACAAGACAATTCTCAGAAAGGTAAGTAAGTGCCTGTAATGCTTTCGCACTAAAGATGAAGGACATACTGAAATAAAATATGATTGCAATTAACCAATATTCGATTAACTAAAGAAATAGTCATAAGAGGATATTTCCATGTTGATTCCAATCATTTTCAGAATATTAACGACAAAACATTAACCATGTCCTACCATATTCATGCGATCACGACACGAAACAACTAGATGCCTAGGATGATTCGCTATCATCATTTCATAATGAACAGACAAAAATTTGAAATGTCGGATGTGCGGTGGTAATGGATAACGACTCAGAATGAGAAATCGGACAGCCGAGTTCGAATTCCAGTAGAGTTCGTCACATTCACTTACAGGTAAATGCCATTGGGAAAATGTATAAAGCCATCTCTTCTCCCCACGGCTATGGGTTAAGTAGTAGGATCTATATGAAAAAGTATTGCTATTTCCAAAAAAATTGTTAATGCAATATTCACTCGCAAAAATATTCTTAAAATCCAAAATATGATTTTGCTTTAAATAACCCGCAAATGAATGTAACGAACTTGACTGGAATTCGAACTCCGCTCTCATATTTCTCATTCTGAGCCGCTATCCATTACAGCACCCGCACATCATCGAAAAGCACAAGAGAGACAAAATGTTTGACTCTCAATGTTCTTTTCTTTTGTGCGTAAGGAAGAAAATGTATTTTTGTATTAATTTGACTTGTAAACTTAAAGTCCCTGAGATCACATATATCAATATCTGCATTTTGTCACCCTAATACTTCTGGAGAAAGATAATCTACTGGTTTCAGTTCTATCCTCCATGCTTTTGAAATCAAAGTTATTCTTCTCCTAAAGTGGTTGACAACCAAGGCTAGATTCTTCATAGCTATTCAAATATTGGTTACCTACAAACAGGTTTTATAGTAACTTTGTCCATGTGATAATTATGAGGATAAAGTTCCACTTAAGTTAGAACACATAAGTATTTCATTTACATAATATCTGAAAATTATTTTTGCAGTTTATGAAGTCAAACAGCGAGATAATGATGACACGGATATAAAGAAGATTTTGCTCAAGGTAAATTATATTGCTCATCATTTACAGATTATTCTACGAAAAGTTTCAACATTATCGATTACATAAATATCTAATATCTACTCACCTGTTTAACTCTCCAGCACCCACCCTTATTATTTTTTTTTTGTTGCTTCATTCTTCATTTTTCTTTCATATCTGTAGATGTGTATCTATGCATTTATTTTGGCTTCTTACATTATATCTACCTATGTGGCCACATACATACACATTTCGGCCATTTCTTTATACATATCAGCAGCAGCAATTGTGAATCCATTGCTGGACAAAGGTCTTTCCCAATTTATTTAACGAAGAGCTTCACTATTGTCTTATCATCAAATCCACCCATTTCATCTCTTCATCTACTTATCTAGCCTTTTCCTACGCCTTGTGCTATCCACTGGGCAAAAAATCAAGTTAACCAACCTTTTGCTCCATCTCTTATTCTTACTTCTTGTTATGTGTTTTTTGTCCACCTGCATTTTTGCCAGTTAATCAGTTCTACCTAACCAAGCAGATTAAGTTGTCAGACTCAAGGCTCACTTAAACCGTTCTTATATATAACTGGACACCGAGATCAACACCGAGAGGTGAGAGTCAGTTTCATGCTTGAATGCAATCTTCAGGCGTGAATATTGCGTTCAAGCATGAAACAGCCTATTACTGATCGGTATTGACCTCAGTGCCCTCTTTTATATTTACATAAGTTCTATGGCTGGTATTGAGCAATTTAACCCACGAATATAGCATACCTTAAAACTATATTTTTCTCATATTGTGTGTGTGTTATACCAGGCATATTTTTATTTGTGTTCATATCGCACTGCCATCTCCATAAAAACACCTTTGAAAATGGTGAATTTGTGTGTGTATATATATATATCTTTCTCTCTCTCTCTCTCTCTGTATATATATATATGTGTGTGTGTGTGTGTATGCGAGTGTGTGTTAAAAATAGGATATAGAATCACGACAAAACTTTGAAGAAATTTGATAAATGGAAAAAAAAAAGTTTCATCGACAAACCTATTTAAATATTTTATTTTGAACCCATTCTGCAAAATTGGATAAGGATTTACCTTAAATTAATTTCAGAAAAGGCTATACGAATCTCTTGCTTTTGAGCCATTCTGAAAAAATAAGATGAGGATTTTCCTTTAATTCGGCACAGAATAGCTGGGAAAATATATTAATTATTTTCGGCATGAACAAAGAACTATAAGGAAAAGATACAGAATAAATATTAACAGCTTTTTTAAAAGTCACTCATTTTCATTCTTTCATCACGAGAAACGCCATCTTTGGGAAAAAAATACTAATGATTCATTATTTAAGCATACCCCCAAGTACATTCACACACACATTTCTTTCTTTCGTTTTGAGATCTGATGAAGCATGGAAAGGCGAAAAATGTAATCAAATGTAGTTTCAATGAAACGCTTTTTTTTTTGTTAAATTTATATATACATATATATATATATATATATATATATATATATATATATATATATATTTTCATGGTAACTATTTTTTTTTTTTATTTATCTATATATTTTTTATCAGCTGGACTGGATAATCTGTAAGACTATCTCAGATTACGAAAAGGAAGAAATTCATGCTATTTTAACAGAAAACTTTGCACTTATTAAATCTGAAGTTAATCTGCTCAAAGACACTGAGAAATGCAAAAGGACCATCTGATGAGAGACAATAGGAAAGAAAGAAAAGGAAAATGATCGTCAAGATGGAATACTTTTAGATATTTCGGTAATCATGTTACGCTTGGTTTAAGTTTCAGATTAACTTAAACTTAAAAAAAAAATTACGTTCTCAATGAATCTCTTCAGATATCCCTAAAAATGTGATTCTTTTTAATTGCGCTTTTCATTAAATTTATAAAAATTATTAATAATTAAAATAAAATGCAATTTGAAAAATCTACCCATCATGTTTTTTATTCTTATTTTCATAAATTCAGATTTGATTTTGATTTTTGCTTCTTCATTCCAGTATTCAGAAATTTTGACTCACACAATGACAAAACAACACCACCATAATTAAAGAGAAAATTTAGTAACTGTCTTTACTCATCAAAGACGTGTAATCACACGACAAACGTATTTTTCAAATAAGATGAAAGTAGTGTTACAGTTCTGGAGGTGTTGGTAATTACTCAAAATTACAATTAATATAATAAATTCTTATTTTTTGATGTGCAGTGTCTCTTCAAGGCGTAGACGATCATGGCTCTCCACAACTTTCTAACTCATACCAAGATTTGATTTTTTTTTTTTACTATCCTTCCCACTCCCTGTTCTACCTTCCATTTTACAGGCTTCTTTTAGGAGGTTACTCGCTATTTCCCTCTGCCTCTCTTGCCTTCAGTATGTCCTGTAAGTGTTAAATTCTCCAAGCTCTCTTACAACATTAAATTTCGATTGTCTCTTTCTGATTCTAAGTATAATGGTCCTTTTTGTTTCCATCTTCCTTACAACTCGTTCTTTACACGCACCGTCCATGTTATTCTCAGCATCCTTCTATAGAATCAGCTTCCATAAAAGTAACACAGATGGATGTGGTTATTTCTTTTTACAGTTTTTCATTGGCTTAAAAATAACTGTTTTTTTTTATGATGAATCGATTTTGAATATTGTGTTTTAAGTCGGAAAAGATTATTCTGATGAGCCTTTGTTGGTTGTAGATGATCGAACGGCCTCAATTCATTCCCTATTATTTTTTACTTTCGACAAATGTGCCAAGAAACAATAAACAAGAGAAATAATACAAAATAAAAAAAACAGTTTTTGAATTACAAACAATATTTTGATTTATATAGCATAAAAGATACAATGCATTATTATGCTGGAATCAGTAAAGATTTGTGAGTGAAATCGATGTTTGTTATTTTAATTATGTGTGTAAACTCTTATTTTGGTGTTTGGAGTTATGGTATGTGAGTTTACTTGAAGAAATATTTGTTGTAATTGTGGTGATATAAGTTTCACAGAGTTAGTGAAAGAATAATTCTGTTTATGAGGTAATTGAACAGTGTTTGTGAAATATAAATTTACAGTGTAAATTGGGGAAAAAAACTTGTTGTTTAGAGTTGTCTTTCTTTGACTGTAATATTGTCAAAAAGTAAATAAATTCTGGATGAAATTGTGTTCTGTAATTGAGAACTTTTGTTATGCAATAATGTTTTGTGGTTGAGAACTTAGATATTAATTCACTTGCAGGAATGAACGAAAGCTGCTGTGTGAACGATTTGAGTGAGCGAATGTTCTAGAAGTTGAAATTTATTTAATGGGTAACATTTTAGCCTCAGAATATGTGATGTAGTTTTTAGTAATCGATTGCGTTGCTGTCACGATGCTCACTGGCGAGATGCGCTGGTGTACGATATTTATTTACTTGTTAATCACGTGATATGCTCGAGAACATATTTTCAATATTTTGGGCGGTTTTCTGATGTGAACACTTGTGCGTAGGCGTAAATATAACATTGGTATTTATTATTAACCAGTCAGAAAAAGTTTATTGTTGTACTTTTAGCTGGAGCCTAGATTGTTTTTAGCTTGCACAAGATTTTAGAACGTAAATATACACAAAATAATTTTAATATTTATTGTCCAATCAGGACGTTGTTAAATAACAGTATTATGGAAATTAGGTGTAGTCCACGAAATGTAAAAATCAGATTCTATAGGTTTTTAATTTCCATCACAAGTCGTCAGAGTGAAAAGGATTTTGTTTACTTTTAACTATAATTTTTTTTAGGTTTTTTTAAATTTTATAAGGACTCTGACAGTATAAGGAAGCGTATTGACTTTGAGAAGCTGCCGCATAGTTTCATTTGTCGACGCAGTGTGCTACCGTTGCTTTCCATTTTACGATAATCGTAGCTAGATAACGTATCATTTTTAATCTCCCTGTACACTTCACAGTCTGTGTGTTACAACTCAAAACTTCACCTCGGTCTTTCCTTCCGACAAGCGAAACTTCTATGCCAAGTGATTTGCTCATATCATAAGGACACTTGGCTTTTGAAATTAGATGTCATCGACATGAAACTCAACAAAATAGCGACCAATTGAAAATCGTAATAACGCGAGATTGTCTCGAAAATTTACTTTAAAAAATATTGCATTATCAAAAAAAAAAAAAAATCGTAATATCGAAAATCGAGAGAGAGAATTTTTACATTTTATATAGTTACAGAGAATATAAATTAAAATAAAAATAAAAATGTTAAAAAAGGCCATATTTTATTTTTATTGTTAAAATATTTAAAACTAAGGAATAGGTATTGACTTTTCTTTTGATTTCCAATTTTCATATTTTTCGGTATTTATTTTACAAGCACTTATCTTTAAAAAGTGTAAACCTCAACGTAATCCGCCTCAATACAAAGTTGAAAATCATCAAATTAAAAAAAAAAAAAAAAAACGTGGTGCAAAAGCGCGAAAAAAATGTTCTCTAAAATTTTGAAAAGTCTACTTATATTTTAAATAAATGTCAAAAGTTTTATCGAAAAATCAATAATTAGATGAATTTTGGAAGATTTTTTAAAAATCGATGTTTTGTTTTTTTTTTTTTTTTGCAATACAAAAAACAGGCAGTGATATTTTTATAGTGACAGAGCATGTAACATTTTTAAACGTCAATAACATTTATATCAGATTTTTCCCATTCTTTCAGCTTTCGATTACTCGAGAAAAACGACCATAAAATTTAATTTTATACATGATGTTACATAGTTTTTTTTTTTTTACGCAGGTTTCCAATTTTCTGCCATGAAAATTGGAGATAAATTATTATGAAGCAATAACAAAAAATAACCAGTGATAACATTACATATGTAGGCTTACTTACACACATTTAACCTACTGATACTGTAAGCACTTATTAAAATCTAGCAGTATTAAAGTGTCCTCTAATTTCGCCCATTAAATTATTTATTTTTAACAAAATTATTGCATTATTATAACGAGTAAACAATTCGCGCCAACGCTGTAAGGGAAGTAACTCTCTCAATCATTTTTTTTATAAATGACATCGTTTCTATGTATCAATCTGTAACTCATTTTATTTCATCTTGAAAAATGACTTATTCTTAAACTTATCAATTGCATGGCTCATTTTTCTCTTGCTTTACAGTATATAAATAAACATTAGTACCTTACTATTTTACAATAGTTACATGGATAATTTATTAATATCGATTGAGTATTGTCTATTTTATTAAAATAAAACTATGTGTACAAACGCACAATGAACAAATGCACCTATTTTTTTTTAATTTCAAGTATTCTAAAAAATGTTGCTTCATCAAAAAAAAAAAAGAAAAAAAGAATAAAGCAAAAAAAAAAGCTGTCCATCGAGAATCGATGATGACCCAGCCTAGCAGAGCTAGGTGCATTGCTCATGTCGGTATGGTTGCAATGGTTTACGCTGAACCACAGCAACCTTCTCCTCTTACTCATACAATCCCAGGGCACACAAATGTGTGACGTCTGGTGACAGAATCAGACCGCAGGGGGTACCAGATATTAACTGCCTTCGAGTACCAGATATTAACTGCCTCCGACTGTTGCAGTAAGACTTGAATTCAGAGTTTTCCTTCCCCTAGACCCCCTGCCACCCAAAGCTAGAACCCTCTCTGTCCTGCTATTTACCCATAGTTCGGGGGAAGGGATGAATTTTTTTATACCTTACCTTAGGCTTAAAGGTTATTATTAGCACGTAAATGAATGTAATGAATTCGACTAGAATTCGAACTCGGCTCTCCGATTCCTCAATCCGAGCCGGTTGGATTTTATATCTCAAATATAACAACATTTATATTTAAAGTATATATTTAATGTTTGTGTTCAGCTGATAAACTGAAACCAATCATGTTATTCATGTTCAATAATTACTTTCGCAGTAATAAAAGGATTATTAAGAGTTGTGTCCCTTTGATTCTTTTCACAGCGAGAAAAGTGTTACTCCGTGTTTTTCTTTGTCTTCTCGTTTGCGTTTTTATTTTAATATTTTTTTATTTTTATTTATTTATTTATTTATTTATTTTTGCTAACATATTTTATCACTTCACTCCATGCAAGGCAGTAAAACCACTAAGACATTGAATTTGAAAATAAAGAAAAGAGAAACATTTAAAGAGTGCGAATATTGGAAGAGTAATAAAAACACAGTAGATAACGATTTTAAACTTTTGCAGATTAAAATTGGTTGGCTTGAAAGCACGAAGCCGGAAGGGAGTTCCACAAGTGAGAAGTGCGAGAAAAGAAATTGTTAACATAGAATTTACTGATACATATAACCAACTCAACTGTAAATTAATGAGATCTCTGAGGAGAAATTACTGAGAAAGGTCATTAAGGGAAATTAAGAACAATGCAGGTTCAAGGATGGAGCCCTAGGGGAAACCTGTGTTACATGTGATTTCTTTATCGATTTCATTTTTTTTTTTCTTTCTTTAATTTTTCTTTGGGTTAGTGATGTCTATCATTTTCTAAGAAAATATTTATTTATTTATGTCATTCTTTCTATCATGTGATCTTCAACTTTCTGCTTTCTTTCCAATTTTCTTTGTTCATGAAAACTTTCAGCAATTGTTTTGTTTGGCTTAGTGATGTACAATATTTTCTTTCTTTTTCTACAAATGCTGAAAGATGTTTTAACTGCAAAAACAATTAAAC